TCTTCTGTCTTGTTGTTGGTGTATAGGAATGCCACCGATTTCTGTGCATTGATTTTATATCCTGCACTTTACTGAATTCCTGTATGAGTTCTAGCAGTTTTGGGGGGGAGTCTTTTGGGTTTTCCACATACAGTATCATATCATCTGCAAGGAGTGAGTTTGACTTCTTCTTTGCTGATCCTGTTGCCTTTTATTTCTTTTTGTTGTCTGATTGCTGTGGCTAAGACTTCTAGTACAATGTTGAATAGCAGGAAGATACAAAGAAATGGAAAAACGTTCCATGCTGACGGATTGGAAGAACAAATATTGTGAAGATGTGAATGCTACTTAGAGCAATCTACACATTCAATGCAATCCCTATCAAAATATCATCAGCTTTTTTCAAAGAAATGGAACAAATAATCCTAAAATTTGTATGGAACCAGAAAAGACCCCAAATAGCCAGAGGAATGTTGAAAAAGCAAAGCAAAGCCGGTAGCATCACAATCCTGGACTTCAAGCTCAATTACAAAGCTGTCATCATCAAGACAGTATGGTACTGGCACAAAAACAGACACATAGATCAATGGAACAGAATCGAGAGCCCAGAAATGGACCCTCAACTCTATGGTCAACTCATCTTCGACAAAGCAGGAAAGAATGTCCAACGGAAAAAAGACAGTCTCTTCAACAAATGGTGTTGGGAAAATTGGACAGCCCCATGCAGAAGAATGAAACTGGACCATTTCCTTACACCACACACAAGAATAGACTCCAAATGGTTGAAAGACCTAAACGTGAGACAGGAGTCCATCCAAATCCTAAAGGAGAACACAGGCAGCAACCTCTTCGACCTCAGCCGCAGCAACTTCTTCCTAGAAACATCTCCAAACGCAAGGGAAGCAAGGGCAAAAATGAACTACTGGGACTTCATCAAGATAAAAAGCTTTTGCACAGCAAAGGAAACAGTCCCCAAAACCAAAAGACAACCGACAGAATGGGAGAAGATATTTGCAAATGACATATCAGATAAAGGGCTAGTATCCAAAATCTATAAAGAACTTATCAAACTCAACACCCAAAGAACAAATCATCCAATCAAGAAATGGGCAGAAGACATGAACAGACGTTTTTCCAAAGAAGATATCCAAATGGCCGACAGGCACATGAAAAAGTGCTCAACATCACTCGGCATCAGGGAAATCCAAATCAAAACCTCAGTGAGATACCACCTCACACCCGTCAGAATGGCTAAAATTAACAAGTCAGGAAACGACAGATGTTGGCGGGGATGTGGAGAAAGGGGAACCCTCCTACACTGTTGGTGGGAATGCAAGCTGGTGCAACCACTCTGGAAAACAGTATGGAGGTTCCTCAAACAGTTGAAAATAGAGCTACCACACGATCCAGCAATTGCACTACTGGGTATTTACCACAAAGATACAAATGTAGGGACCCGAAGGGGTACGTGCATCCCGATGTTTATAGCAGCAATGTCCACAATAGCCCAACTGTGGAAAGAGCCAAGATGTCCATCGACAGATGAATGGATAAAGAAGATGTGGTATATATACACAATGGAATATTATGCAGCCATCAAAAGGAATGAGATCTTGCCATTTGCAACGACGTGTGGAATTGGAGGGTGTTATGCTGAGTGAAATAAGTCAATCAGAGAAAGACATGTATCATATGACCTCACTGATATGAGGAATTCTTAATCTCAGGAAACAAACTGAGGGTTGCTGGAGTGGTCGGGGGTGGGAGGGATGGGGTGGCTGGGTGATAGACATTGGGGAGGGTATGTGCTATGGTGAGCGCTGTGAATCGTGCAAGACTGCTGAATCACAGATCTGTACCTCTGAGACAGTGCAATATATGTTAAGAAAAAAAAGAGTTAGAAGATAGCAGGAGGGGAAGAATGAAGGGGAGTAAGTCGGAGGGGGAGACGAACCATGAGAGACGATGGACTCTGAAAAACAAACTGAGGGTTCTGGAGGGGAGGGGGGGGGGGATGGGTTAGCCTGGTGATGGGTATTAAAGAGGGCACGTTCTGCGTGGAGCACTGGGTGTTATGCACAAACAATGAATCATGGAACACTACATCCAAAACTAATGATTAATGTATGGTGATTAACATAACATAATAATAATAAAAAATAAATAAAAATTTTTTAAAAAAGTATCGCTGAGGGTCCTAAAGAAGATGGACTAAGTCCACTCCACCGCATGCCTCCTCTAATTTCAATGTGTGAAACCCCAAGCCTCTGGAAGGTGGAAAAGGAGGCTGGCTGCAGCCCTCGGGACTCAAAGCCGACTCAGCCCAACGCGGTGTTTCCCCCACGCGCCTCCGCTGCCTCCTGTGCACCGCACTCTGTGCCCGATGAACGTAAAGAACGGAGGGAGGCTGCCTCCTCTGGCCCAGGGATCCGCCCAGGGATCCGGCCCGGGATCGGCCCCGCTGCCGCAGCCTGCCCCACCTGAGCTCCGCGGGGGAAGCTGCGCTGAGCGAAGGACAAGAGGGGCAGCACCCCTGCACCGCAGGCCCGACGGGCTCCAGGGAGGAGGGCGCTGGAGACCGGACCCTCCAGTCGGCTGGGCAGTCCCAGCGGCCTCAGGGCAGCCGCACACGGAGCCCCGGCATTACTGCTCGGAGGCCCGGAGGCTCCGGCTGTGCTGTGAGCTCCCAGCCCGGCTGCGGA